CGCTTAATTAATGATTCATTCATTCTCAATGGAATCGAATCGAATCGAGCTTACCGCATTTTCTCTATGAATTGAATTTCATGAGTCTCATTCTTGCATTCGCCATAATCTATTGAATAACTGTGAAAATGTTTCCTTTTCCTAGTACCATCTGTTTGAGGTTCTTTTTTCTGTCAGACAGGTCGCTTTATTATTGAGGATGTGGACTTAGTTGATCTAATTCATTATGACAGATATAACAGTTTTATGTACTCCACATTGATGGAGATTTTCGCTCAATTCCTTCTCTTCGTCAAACCTAATTCGTCCAGGATCGACCTTCTTTTAATCTTGGCATATTTTGATCAGATGAGTACTTGTACTTAGTACTTTCAAAAAAAGCTCAGCCCTAGTCCTTCGAGGGTAGTCGCCCTCGCGTCACGGCGGCGTTCATTAAGGCTCTGACGAAGGCGAAGTTGCCGAAACGTTGGCCTAATAAAGTTAACTAATCTTGGACGGCTACAATCAAGTACTCATCTGATCAAACCTAATTCGGAAAGTTCATGGAGGATTTCATTTCTTTTGCTCTAGTTCGAGTTGGGTCTAGTCTTCTCAGCTTTCAGAAACAGTGTTCAATTTTAACGATGTAGTTATTTCATTGAGAATGAATGAATCATTAATTAAGCGCCACCAAGAATACAAAAGAAAACTCCGTCGCCTCGGTCTGTACTCAGAGAAAGCGTCAGCCTGTCGACAAGACGCATATCACAGTCTGGCGCATTTCAAGTTCACCGCATCAAATTACCTGCATACTTCGAAGTAGTTGCCTTGCGTAACATGATTGTTTTCAATTTCGTTCCTTCTATTCCTTCTTTTGGCCACTCTTGAGCGTATCATTATAATTCTCCACATTGTCGTGGAACTCTGAGCCAGAAAGACTAGAATGGTTTGTGTAATGTTTCATAATTTCTTAAAATCGAGGTGTTTCGATACTGACTTGCAAATTGGGGTCACTCTTCTAGCGCATTACAGTTTTGAAAGATTCTGTGCTTTTGTTTACGTTCCGGGACGGCATACTGAAATGTTTAATTGGATCGGTGTCCCAGTTCAGGTGTTCATACTTCTTAAGGGCAGGTTTTAATCGGTTAAAAGTTATTGGAGCTGTACATGTGATGGTAGCAATTTCTACAGCTGCCATTTCGGCGCATCTGCTTTCTTCCTGCTAAAATACCGTCACGTTAACATGGTTAAGCTTCTCAGAAGTGTGAAAAACTTTCAATACAGGCTTTTAATCAAATAAGCATTGAGGAGATGAGTTCTCCACCGTCACCTTATTCAAATGATCAAATGAGCCACCATCATGACCCAAGACTTGTGGCTGGTCCCATTCAAATGGGATGAGAGACCAACCTTACAATTATATTTAGTCTTTCGCATAATTGGCGAAGCTCTTCCCACATATTTGTTCCCAACCTTGAATCGAAATATTCTGTAACGCGTGGATATTTGAATTTGGGGGCATCATTATGCAGTTTTTCCAAAAAGCTAGGGTAACTCCGAGCCAGGGGGAGTGTAGCCAGTCTAGGGGATGGGGATTTCACTTGACATGCGTGAAAGCTGGAATGTTCGAGTTCACTAAGAAACTGCATCATGATGCCCCTTAACTGGAACAGACCGAATTTCATTTTGAGGACCTTCCTTATGTCCCTCAATGAAAAATGAAACTTCATGGGTGGTAAAGGCATATATCTCATCGAAATCGCTTCAAACCCTACAACCCAACGGCAGTCTTAAGCGATACGCTCCACTTGACCTTGTCATTCAAATGCTTTCTGGCTTGCAAAGATTTTGACGTTGCGCTATCTCAGCCCGATCCCCTAGTCTCTTAGAAGACAGTATATGTGATATTTATTCCCCCGATTATCCTCACCGTCATACTACGTGACGAGCACTTTTCTGATCCATTTTCCGCTTTATTACAGTGGTTTACGAGATAGGCAGTAGAACATATCTATTCACGTGAAGGATGTAGCGAATGTTGCTGATAGTGGATGATACATAATGAAGGACGATGCCCGATTCCAATAGTCACAGAATGAGAGGTGTAAAGTTCACAAAAAGTGGTCTCTAAACGAGAAAAATAGCGCTGTGCTATTTGCAGCTGCGCGAAAAAAAATGGAGGTTGAAAAGTATGATCAATTGCGTCTGCGACCGAGTAGTTCTAACTCCACGTTCATAATTGGTGTTTTTAGAGAATCCGGTAATCCATGAAGGGTTAGGCTGGTGTCAGAGGGCGCACGCATAGTCGGTCGTCCGACAGCAACGATCGCAACTGTCTGACTGTCTAACTGCATCTAATCGTCGAATACTCAGGCAAGTCCGACGATCGATACGCATCCAATGCTGTGCGACAGTTACGATCGTTGCTGTCGTCCGACCGACTATGCGTGCGCCCAGAGTGCGCGAACCGTCGCAGATTTCAGTGATTTTAGCGATTTGCGCGATTTTCGCGATTTCGCGAAACCTGCGATGGATCACAGGAGTTGGAAGTGCCCGATGATAATGCGAGGTGTTGTTTCCTGCTGCGAATTCTGCTTGACAGTGAAGATTGAAAGACGACTGTTCGTGATTCTACTTGTTTCATGTTCAATGTCTATCAGTTCATTGAAATGCTCATGATTCGGATCGCAAAAATTGCAAGTGCCCCATTTGAACAATTGAAACACTGAATATGAAACAAGTGGAATCATGAGCAGTCGTCATTCAGCCATCACTATCAAGCAGAAGTGGCGGCGGGATTGGAGAACACCTTGCAGTATTGATCGGGCACTTGTGATTTCCGTGACCCGTCGCGCAAATCGCGAAATCAGCGAAACCTGCGACGGATCGCGGACTCTGACACCAGCCTTAACTACCCATCGATTGGTAAAAACCCCCTCCGCTATAAAGTCGAGAACCAACACACAAATACGAATTTAGTCTTTCCGCAGATTCTCCGATTTCCCGACCCTAACAGGAGGACCTACCTAGCGATTTCAGAGATCTGTTGTTTTTTCTCTGAATGGTTTTATCTTCGTTTTCCTCTAGTCTTTTTCCTTCGTCCAGTTAATACTTCGCCGTCGTTCGTTTCTTCCATCGTTTTTTGTGTTATCTTTCAAAGATGTTTTTCAATGAATTCATGGATGAATGGATATCCTTCACTATTGAAGCGATTCATTTGTTCTTAAAATGTGCATTATGTTTCCACTAATTTTTCGTTTTCACGGTCAAAAATAGAGTTGCTCTCAGCCTCACTGGGCCTGCCCTTCAGCCTCAGCCCTTTTTATCAGTCCTCTTAATCAAAACTCTTCTCATATCCATCTTCACAACTACTAAATGCTGAAGTAATCATCTTCTGGAAAATGATTCAAATCTTATAAAAAAAAACTTTCCAGAGTTGTGATGGATATTCCATCGACTTCAGCCTCGGCAACTCATGCTGAACTGCCACCATCATCAGTTCAGAACGAGGACATGAAGAAGATGGTGCAGGGACTAAAGGACCTGATGTCGTCACGACGACCACCTGTCAGTCGCGATATTCTCAAAATCAAGATGGAATATCTTGGCGAGAAGCGGTGTATTGAAATGGATCGTCCGGTATCAATGAGAGCGTTGCAAGAACATTTAGAGAGGCGATATGGGAAAGCGATCAACATGTACTATCAGCAAGGAAAAGGAGAAGTGGTGGTATCTATAAAGAATCAAGACGAGTTGGACAGAGCTATTAAGGTATTAATTCGTTTTCTATTTAGTTTGTTACGTGTTGAGATCGTCTCTTTTAGAGTGTTCAATCAATCACGCTAGGGGTGATACTCGAGCGCAGCTTTCTCAGCTCTGTCATTCAAAGCGATCGTAGTCGTGAACGCTGGTGTCAGAGTCCGCGATCCATCGCGCTAATAGCAGAATTCGCAGTAATGTGCCTCATTAGAACATTTGGTGCACTGAATATGAAACAAGTAGATCATGAACAGTCGTCATTTGATCACCACTATCAAGCAGGATGCGGCGGGATTGGAGAGCATATCGCAGTATTAATCGGGTCGCGGACCTGAGCTGTTGTCAGACCCGCGGACTCTAATAACAGCCTAGCAAATAGCGGTTCTAAACCCAAAAGTTGATATTTCATGTCGTGGACCGTACCGGCCAACGGTGTCTTCGATTGCTGCTCTCCAAGCATCAACAACTGTCAACTGGAATAACAGAATCTCATCCTGATCCGTCAGGAACTTACACAGGCAATATTGTTGAAGTATGCTTTTGATTCGTTCCACTATGCGATTATTCATAGCAAAAAAAGCCAGCATTGGCTAGCTTATGAGTCATTCTGTTGCATTGTGGACGATTTCTTATCACTGGTTTCATACATATTGATTTGTCATCATTCAGATCCCTTATTCTGTAAACTGCTCATCGTGTGGTGCGAGCCGAGTGTCATTTGCCAAAAGTGCTGGTGACTCTTCTTGCTCTAGTGGCGTACAATGGGATATCGATGAGAAAAAGCTAAGCGCTCAGGCGCCTCGAGCTCCCACTCATTGGAAGGAGGCGAAGTTTGTTGATTTGAGAACTTATATTCGGTTTTCTGGATGTCGTATGAAATTATTAATACGCTTCTAATTTCTGTGGAACTTTGCAGTTGCTACGGTGCAGTTACTACAGTTACATAAGCATTTTCAGATGTATAGGTAGCGGAGCATTTGGCAGTGTATATCTTGCCTACGATGTGGACACGGGTAGGGATCTGGCCGTGAAGAAAATTCCAATCATTCCCGACAACAGGGAGTTGAGTCGCGAGGCGCAAGGACTAGAGTTCGACGTACAAGAACTTGGTGAGTGTTAGGATATAAGTGAAAGCGCATGTGCCTCTTATCATGCAATCAGTTGGCGAGGCGTGCGATGACGTCCTGATGTTTGTGCTTAGTGGTCGATGTGCGAGCTGTGGACCAGTACCTGTGTGATCATGCAGTCTGAGTGTTAATAATGAGGCCGACGTCATAGTTTGCGAATGCTGGATCGAGCGTTGCGCCAGCGAATCGAACTTTGCACCAGCGAATCGAACGATGCACCAGCGAGTCGAACGATGTACCAGCGACTCAATAGTGGCGGGACCCAACGTTCAAAGGAAGCCCGCCACTTTCAAACAGTGTCCACTGTCAAGTCCCGCCACTTTCAAAAGGGTCCACTGTCACGTGACACTGTTTGAAAGTGGCGGGCTTCCTTTGAACGTTGGGTCCCGCCACTATTGAGTCGCTGGTACATCGTTCGACTCGCTGGCGCAACGCTTCGATTCGGCGATTCGCTAGCGAATCGCTCGATTCGCAAACTATGACATCGGCCTGAGAGTGCATCACATCTCATTATTTTTTGTATTGAATAGAAATCAAAGAACTGACATAATTATACTAACGTAGTTTAGGTCGACTGCAACATCCGAGGATAGTTCAGTATCTAGGAGTCCAGAAAACCAGCGATAGGATTCTGATATTCATGGAATATATGACGGGAGGTTCACTCAAAGAACACATAGCTTTAGTAGGGAGCTTGTCGGACGGTGTAGCGAGAAGACATACTGCGCAGGTACTTCTTACTCTTAGAATTGCGAATATTATTCTTGAATGCCACATAAAAAGATGCTCAACTTCTCGACGTGAATCATACAGGATTGATCCAGCTTCTGCCATGGAGTTTATAAGTTAAAATTTAGGTGTTGGAAGGTCTAGCGTTTCTCCACAAGAATCACATAATTCACCGTGACATAAAGTCTGCGAATATTCTTCGAGATTCAATGGGCAATGTAAAGATAGCCGACTTCGGATCAGGGAAGAAAATGCAAAGCTTGGCAAGTCAGCAAGGGGCTTTCCACAGTACTATTCACTACACTGCTCCGGAGGTAAGTAACGGTGCCGAGTCCGTATTTCCAGTCCTATTCAAAATGGTTGCTGCAACTCTAAATGTATTAGGAGATTTGACTTTTCTCTACTCTCAAGCATACGTTTTTCAATAGGTTCTATTGGGAAAAACAGCCTATGGTAGAAAAGCCGATGTATGGAGCGTTGGTGTGACACTTGTAGAGATGCTCACTGGGCAAGTTCCCCTGGAAAGAGTTCGAACCTATGGCAGCTATGTTTCAGATTGCTTATGAAGAGCCACGAATTGAGGTGGGTCATCGTTTGATGCCATTTTTTGCAAATAATTATAAACTTTCTGATCGTGTGTTTCTTCTTATCAAGCATAATTGGAGTGCTAAATTTGTGAGTATCTCATGTCAGCAAAATTCTCATTCAAGTTACCGCAAACAGTTCTACCAGTGATGGCTGATCTATGTAAAGTACTAATGAACAAAAACTTCGAAGAAAGACCGATGGCTGCCGAAGTTTTGCTCAATCATCCTGCTTTCAAATCGCAACCATGAGCAAACTCAATTGGTAAGAAATAAAATTGCTGTGCTAGTTAACCTCAGAGTTCCTTATGTAAATGACTTTCATAGAGGCCTTTTTAGTTTTATCGTGTTCGCAGTATTACGTACATATCTTTGAACATTTAAGATGGACCTATTCTTACATGTCAGTCTCCTTTTCCGGAATGTAAATACACCTACTATCATTTCTAGTTTTTTTCCTAGGCATCACCTATCACTTCTAGTTTTCGCTTTCTTACAAGTTTAACGGGTATGTGGTTTGTGAATTTCAAAACGAAATCTCCTATCACTAAGAATTTTGCGAGATATCATCAATGTACGTTTCGAACGACAATTGTTTCATAGTTGTCTAATTTCCTAATTCCACTTAATTTGTAATTACACTTCATTCACTTGTTATATATTGCACGTTCTAATTATGACTGTGATTTTGCTCAATGCCGCTCTAGTCTTATCATTTCAAGTTCATCATTCAGAATAGAAAATAAATATATTGTTTGTGATGGCCTATTATTTGTTGGTTACGGTATTAAACCATCATATACCGCTGCTGTGGTTCCTTTGCTTTTTTTGTACTTTTGTTTACTAGCGTTGGCGCGTCCATGCGAGAGTAATGGTGTGTAAAAATCATGCAACAATATGGTGAAAGGGGCAGTCTTGTATTTTTCCCATCTATGTAGTTGCGCTTGTTGAAGCCCATTGGAAAAGGCAATGCTTAATGCAAGGCCCAAGGTCCAAGAGAAGCTTCCTCTATGAGGCCCTAGCGTTGGCGCGCACTTGCGAGACGCGACTAGACTAGATACTCGCAGGTCGCCCTAACCTACCCGAAGAATTGATTATTCGACGTATTCTCAATTTGCGGTAGCGCGTGATGTACTGGCCTGTCTCAAAATTTCCTTCGTAACTGGTTTTTAATAGCAATTTATTGCCTTGTGAGTCTTATGAATCCCCGCACTCATTTGTTGCCATTGGCCCGATTCTTTCATATTTCTCAGGCGACTTAACATTATCGTATTTAGATAGTAATGGAAATGCTTGACACTTTGAGGGAAACAATAGCTACTGTGCAAAATGAAATAACGTCAGGGTGAGTGCACAATAGCTCATAATTTACCAGCTTATTTGGTTTGGTTTGGTGTTTGGTCATTATTCCCAATTCGGTGTCTTTTTTGTGCACGATAAACAGAATGCGGGATTGTTATGAAAGGTTTCTTACGAATGGCATATATTTCTCCACGCTTTCGCATTTTTGTTTAAAGTAACACAACTTTGGACTTTATTTAGCAGTGGAGCTTAGTCCTCTCCCACTCCCTCATGCTGTCTTCATGTCAAAGTTTCTAAATCCTTCAACAATCATTTTGTTCTTCCCTCTTACCTTCAGTGCTTTTGGTGGATTCCTGTTTCATTTCTCGTTTCACTTACTAACCCTCTCTTTCTACATCTTCATCGAGGCTTCTTTAAGTCTGACTAGAAAATGTCTTTTAATAAACCCGGCCGCTTAATATGAGGTGCACATTTTTGAGCGCCCTTCCAAGATAATCTCAAATGTGGTTTCATTTCATTGATATGATTTCAGAAGTTTAGTTCATGAAACCGCCAAACACTTAAAGCAACAGTTCAGGAACGGTTTCGCGGGAAAAAACCACCAATAATGAAGTTGTAGATGAAAACCAGACGATTAATGTATGAAAAACTGGAAAAAAACGTCGGGGAGGGTCTTAGACAGGTACTCTCCCTCTGCCGCTCAGCAATGGATAAAGACGCACGTTGGACGAGTTGTCTGAACGTGCCCGCTGTAAACGCGCTCCATTTTTCAATCAATTTTCCCTGTGGTCCCAAAACGAGCACGATTGCCGACGCGTCCAATGACGGCCGGCAAGGGGGCGGGATTGGGGAAATCCCCAAGAACACCCATGTTTGAGGGACTTTCCACCCTGTTTTTGAGTTTCTGAGGTAAGTTCGTTTATTATTTCCACTGCATATGTTCTTCACTAGGGCTCGTGTATCCCTCAGTAGTAGTGGCATTGAAATTTTCGGACCCTCCCTGAACTGTTGCTTTAAGTGTTTGTAGCTCACAGGAAAGATTAATTGGATCGACTCCTAAGGAAACATGCTCATTCGCATCTCAAGAGAACATGCCTTAAAAAGGCTTTGAATGGAATAATTGAATGAAAATGAGTAAAGAAATGCACATCCCATTTCGTTTGGCCGCGTGACCTAATTACTTTACCTGGTGAGGTCAGGTGAAATTCGTTTTGAAATCCGTCACTGGTAAGCTCATGGAAATGTGTATTTGTCACGAAACCTGTCATTCGCATTCCTGTTTGATGAAAACGTGATAGGCGATTCTGTTCCAAAAAGAGTGAAACTGCAGACTGTTAACTACATGACTAGATGGAGATAATGAGCAGTCAAAATGGATCATAAAAAGGAACCTGTGCTGCGGTTTCGTGGAAGCATACTTTTGAACGTCCAGTAGTAATTTTTTACAGGGTGGAACGGCTTCGTTTCAACGTCTCTCCATCGCTAGCCGCACAACAAAGGTGAGCTATTGCAACGTCTATGAAAGGGAAGCGAAAGGAAAAGTTCTCTAATACACTGGTGTGCAAAACTTAAAGACGAGATAGATGAAGTAGCATAACTTATTGATAGCTTTGTGGACCGTTTAACGGTTCCTGTTCAACTGCTTTCTGTGCACTGTAGCAGCTCTTTGTATGTGTGGTTAGGTTCCATAGAGTTATGTTACTCGCCAGTAACACATCATGGAAAAGCTACGTTCGTCCTTGAGTTTTGCGCACCAGTGTAGTTTGAGGTAGAATTTTTTTGACCACGGTTCACACAGGTGACAGTCAAAAAGGAAATTTCAAAAGTTTGACGATGTGGTGTTAAATGTAGGCATCAGCTGCAGAAACATGAAGAAACGCAGGCGCATTAAGAAACGCATGGCTGCATCACACTTCTTGACGGCTTGACATGTTCTTCCAGTGGAAAAAAGAAGTCCGTCTAAATTTTCTGTCCTTATGATGATGGAAATGTTTGGTGTGACTGCAGCCAGCGCAGTTCCAAGGACCTAGTTCACAACGAACCTTGATCATTAGTAAATTAATATCCACTTGGTTCTCACAACGATGAAAAAGTTTACGAACGGATCTCTGTCTTATTAATTGCCTGTCAGAGGGGCGCTGAGAGCGAACCCTAGACATCCTTCACGCATCAAAAAAATTTTGCTATTTTGGCAAGAAGCGCTTCTGAATTCAACTCTGGATTCAGCTAGATTTCCGAAGATCTCAGTTTTTTCTTTTCAATATAAGATCTGCGGAAAGTGATGACGTCGTATTAGATTTAGTTGTTTTGGTGTTTCCGTGAAAACATACATTATAGAAATATCGGAGGGTCAATTCGGTTGAAAATCCATAGGCGGAATTCGTGCACACATAAATGTGTTTGCATTACTTTGCTCGGTAAGTCAGATGATAGCGGATGGTGGAGCGAAGAGCAAAGAAAGTGTAAGCGCGATTCCGAGGAGGCGAGATCAAAACAGAAACAGGGACAAACAGTGAGATCAAAGCCGATGTCAATTGGGGTTCACTAATAATCATGCTTCATATAAATAATCTTAAAGCTGACAGTTGCTGATCTGCACTCTGCCCACCCTGCGATTTGCTGAACGCGAAATAGTTTTTTGAGCACAATCTGAAGTGGCTAGCCGTGAACTCCAAGCTGGTGAGCTGACTTAATCGAAACTTTGTCTTATTCTGCGTGCGAATATCACTGTTACCTATAGTATATTGGTATCGTCCGAGATAAAATATAATATCATTGAAGGCTTCAGTGGATTCCTTGTTTGGAACTTGTTTTACAAAATCTATATTCTGGGCGGCTGAGCATCTCGATATACTAGCACTAGATCTGTAACTTGGTTCGTAGATTATGGAAGCCTACATAAATCTAGCAACCTCTACCACCACGAGCATGCGGCGCGGTCATCTAATCCGAAATACCTTGTATTACGTGAAAAGCCATTTCTGAACGAGATTGTTGTGCATGAACTGCCATTCGCGTGCGGGTAGATTATCATAAACCCCTCAAATTTTGACGCAGTCTGGATCCGCCCTTCAAATTTGCACGATTTGATTCCCTTTCTCTTCATAATATAATCCCGAATGAGGCGTGAGTTTCCAGTATTCCCACTTTGAATGAAAAGAAAAAATCACTCAAACTAATCTAAATATTTAGCGTGAGTAGTGATTTATTTGCGCGTTTTTTTTTTTTCAGGCATGTTCTTGATTTCTTGCCTGACTGTTTTCAAAGGTTATGGTGTAGTCTGAAAGCGCTCAATCTCCCGTACATTTGACTTACAACACTTCTGTATTTGCTTCACTCTGGAGCTTACACGTGAAAAAAGTCACGCCTGCATGAGTGCAAACTGAGCTCGAAAGCGAATGCTTCTGCATTTGCCCGTAAAATCATTGAAGCCTGGGATGAAGGCACGGTTCAGAAAGGGGTGTTCGAGTGTACTTGTTGAATACTCATTTATTGTTGTTTTTGTTTGGTTATTTGATAAGAAAGTCATGGGTGAATGAAGACGGGCGATAATGCTGCTACAAACCCAAGGTGATTTGCACGATCTATGATGCCTTGCTTGTATTATCGTAAAACATGCGATGAAATCTCGAAAAATGGGTATTTAAAAAATGGATAGTACTGCGCCTCAATTTACAGTTATGAGTAGAAAGGCAGTGACTTGACTAGCGCGTGTAAGATTAGTGTTATTTTATTCGGTGATCACAATGTCATTCTTGTAAAAATGTAATTACGCAAAATCCGCACTTAAGTATATTTATAGTATTTTATCAATAAATGTGTCTTGTAAATAAAAGTGGTTATATTTTATTAAGTCAGAAGTCCACATTCGTTACAGCAGTGCCTATAATTATGTGCTATTGTAACAACTATCAAATCAAGTGAAAAGAAAATTGATGCGCTCATGAATT